ATTCAGCAAGCCAAATCTGTTGTCTTAGTTGATCAAAGACTTAACAAAAAGTGTATTAAAAGCAAGTGATACTATAAAAATAATTGTATTCAGAATTATAAATTAGCTAAGGTGCATTAAAATAAAGATTCTTGTTTTCCCAACACTTCTGACTATATCTTTAGAAAGTATTTCTTGGTCAAAAGTAACATGTATAATTAATAGTTATTTGATAAATCTTGGCATAGCTTTTTTGGTGAAAGTCCTAATAACTGAACAACAACCAAAAAAAATGTTTTTGTAAGCCAGGTGGTTTCCAGTTCTTTTCTTCCAACAAAACTGAAGACAGGCCTAATCAAGTTGTCATTTGATAGAACATGAAAAATAATGTTATGACAAATCACTAGGTAATTTTTGACATAAAATTTAGAAGGAGTTCAAAGAATTGAGTGATTATGTTTCAGCAAAACCTTTTCTATCTCCTATACTTATTATATAAATAAGATTTCTTAGCTTTTACATTATATAATGAAAAATGGGGGAAATGATACCAAATCTTTCTCTTATTTTTGATAAATAATATTCATGAATGTATGAATGAAATCATCTTAAAAACAAAGCATCACTCATCTTATAAAGAGATGCACTTCCAACAACAAATTTCTTTTATGTTGAATAATATTCAAAGTGTCAGCCTACTGATGTTGGTTTGAACAGCTGTGTATTGGAAATGACAGCACATGTGAATGATTATAATATTCTGGGAACATAAAAGTAAAAAATCTTCAATGTATATACACAATTTGTTTGCAGATAAAAATATTTATATGATCTACAAAAGATTTTCAAGTATCGAACACTATTACATTTGACTAAATTTATGTAGAGGCAGGGAAACAGAGTTAGCAAGGGACAAAGTAACATTTCTGAATGCGAAAAGGAGCTTCTTGTTCACAACTTTTAAAAATAGACATTTATGGGTATTGAACTGTTAGGATATTTAGATTCCATTGACTACTTTCAAAGAGCAATGTGACTTATAATGGATGCATCCATATTTAATGCACATTGGAAACTACATCATTGCAAGTATTTAAAGCATAATGACAAGTACTTCTGGAATCAGATTTAAAATGTGTAAAGGATACATACATTTATAAAATCTTCTTAGGTTGTGGAGCAAAATGTAGTTTGAAGATAACTACCATACCTCATTGTCATTCATGAAGGTAACCCTTTCCATCTTCCTCCCCAGGCCCTGAGTCAGTTGGCCACACTGAACACACATATGGCTCTTCTGTACCTGGCCCCTCCAGGGCTGGGGTCAGTGCCCAGGCTGGACACTTTCCCTAGGAAAGGGAAAGTTAATATGCTCCCTGAGTCATGTGAACATTTATGGGACACGACTCAGGGGATCCACACAGAACACAAATAGGAAACTCACTTTTCTAGCCAACCCAGTGACACCTGGAATTACACTCACAGGGCTGAGTATAGGTGTACACCTCTTAGTTTTAAACTCTGAAGAACTGGTTTTCAGTTAGATTCCACTAGTTACTAGATAAGTGCATGCAGGTAGAGTTAATAAATATCTCTGAACTTCACTTTTCTCATCTGAAAATTAGGGATTTTTTGATCCTGTATATCTCACATAATATAAAGTGCTTGGAAAAGTGTCAGGCATGGGGAAAATATTCAGACACATGAGTTGATGGATTTAGAGAAGGGGACAATGTGAAGATCATCGGGACACCAGAATCTGAAAAGAGAGACAAAGAGATGGAAATAAAGATGCCTTAGGGATCACTGCAGATGTCATGGAAATGCAAGATTCCAGGGACTGTAATAGTAACAACTGGGAATTATCACACATGCTTCTAATTTCTATTTCTAGTTTGGCCACAGTTTGCCCTAGGTTCAGCTAGTCATTAACTGTCTTCTTCGCTGATGAATTAGTATGGTGAAACAGAAGTACAAGTATGTATAATATGTCAAGAAGTACAAGTTTTTATAGCCAAGCAACCCAAAGATACAAGTAAGACAACAATGTAATTTTGCCTTGTAATTGTCATATGGCCCATAGAACTTGGGAGTTCTATCATTAAGGGGAAAAAATAGATGTTAGAGGGAAATTCATCTCTTCCACAGTTCTCTCCTTTTGGCTTCCAAATGTGCACACCCTTTTTCCTACACATGAGATATGTTTCCTCCTTCCCTAAAGGTGGCAATTCCAACATACTTCCAGTTACTACAGTTCAAAGTGGAAGGTCTCCTTGTGATATGCAGTCCTACTAGCAGGGCTAGAAGTGGGTCATTTAGTTTGCTGGCTCATACATGAACAGAAAAGTGCTCGTGCCTCCCCCAAATACAATGGAGAACTAAAACAGGGTAACTTCAATACGTATTCTGATGTATAAAAGAGAAGACTGGGAAGCATGTGGTGATCATCTCTTAATGAGAATGATGAATTGCTGCTAGGTGGGAGCAGTGAAAACTTGGGTCCTGGCTCTGAACCAACGTCCCTGGTTAAAACCTGGCGCTTCCCATGCACTGCCCTCCAATGGCTCGACTTTTGTTTCCTGGTCCATTTGCCTCACTGGTTGCAACTGAGGGGACACTGGAAAGTTACTCCCTGAGGCAGGCCACTTTTACATCTGCCCTTGTTGGTGCAGTATTAAAGGCCTGGGTTGCTCTAAGGATCCAAGAACAGTATGGATCTGACACCCTGGGCAATTATTCTTCCTGAGACTGCTACTAGAGCCATGAGTTCAAGGGTGCAGCTTTGCAACTGTGTTCTTATGCTCAGGAAGCTGCAATCAAAACATGGCCTCTGCTTCTTCCTCAACACCCAGGAAGCGGAGAACAGGCCCTGGAACATTGCTGTGGGAAAAGTTGAGCAAAGCATCACCAGGAATATAGCCTCCGCCTCATTTCTACCTTATACTTCTCACTAAATTGAATGTGCTTGGCAGAATATGACTCACATAGAGAATACCAGCTCTAAAGGGTCTTGGAAAGATCATTTTAGAACTCCAGTCTTTCCAACCACAAGGAGGCTTGGTTGCACATTGAGCTAGCTAACTAAGCATCCCTCACAAGGTTTACAAAACAGCGTATGTACTTTGATTATGGAGTTCACTCTGAGTCTCTGTGATGCTAATTTAGGAGATCTTGGAATACATTAAGACGGCCTTGATAGAATGAATCGAACATAACTTTCCTATGTTCATGTATGAATACACTACCAGTGAAAACTCTGAATCATGTATAGACATAAGAATGGGATCCGAATTAGAATACATTATACTTCATGTATATATAATATGTCAAAATACACTCTACTCCCATGTATATCTAAAAAGGACAAATAAAAAAGGAAGGCCTTGGGTCCTATTACATGATAATTGTGTGTTTTGTGACAATTCCAGGGCCCCCATATGTTCTCAATGGTAATTTTTATAAATGTTGCCATGCAGAAATTGAAGTCTCTGACCTCCTACAAGGAAGGGCCCACGGGGCCAACACAATTCTCAAGGGCCAGTATTGACAATTCTCAAGGGCCTGAAGTGACAAAATGGAAAAAGAATTCAAGAGACCCTATCACTTTATCATCAGTCTAGGAACAAACTAGGACTTCCTGGATACATTCTGGGGCTGAGCAGAAGTCATTTACTTCTTTCTAGATAAATGGCAAAATGAAATGATAGATGTGCTATAATCTGATTTTGTCACCTTAATAACAGCATCTTCATGAAATAAATATAGTATTTAAATTGCTGCTGCTGCTGCCACAATGACTCACTATTAATGCTATTATTAGCATTACAATTCCCTTTACAATGAAATCTAGGTAAAATGGTATCTGTTTGTCACTCTGAAGTAGCAACACAAGAAATGCAATTTTGCAGGCTGAAAGATGGAAGAAAATTCAACTTCTGAGCACCTTGCCATTAACCCAGGATTTAGGTTTAAGAGTCATCCAGGTCATTTCCTGTTGGTTGCTCAAGGACCACATTTAAATAGTCAAAATAAGTCTGATTGTTAATACTATGTCTTATGAAATTTTCTTATAATCTTGAAAAATTATATAAATGATAGGTTGCACATAACAAAAAGTACCAGCATATTATTAAGCTTACTACATCATTTACTATATGTATTTTGAATCCAGAATGAGGATTTCTTCCTTATAAAACTATTCTGATGAAACACCGTAGTTTGTTGTATTTTGGATGTCTGATATTCTCTCTCTCTCTCTCTTTTACACACACACACACACACACACACACACACACACGTTTTCAACCTTTCTATTTTGAGGAGTCAATATCACTTGACAGCTAAGGTTTGTATTTTGGAATCAAGCCCCACTGTGGCTTGGGACTCCAAAGTCATTTAACCCCTCTGTGCTTCAGCTAGCTCATCTGCGATTACTGTTATATACTAGCCTCTTAGGGCCATTGAGGGACTAAATGAGATAATGTCTGTAAAGCACTTAGTGTAGAACATGGCACATAGTAAATGTTCATTAAATACAAAACTATGCCTTTTATTCTTAGCCACATTGTGAAATTTTAATGTTCTGGACTTGTGTTTAAATTTTAAGAGTTCATTTTGAGGGAAATTGGCATTAATAATAAGCATATACCAATATTATTTTCAGAGCACTCATAAATATTTCATGATAAAATAACAGGAAAATGGTGTTTACTATTAGCTCCAAAGTTCATGACTATATTTGGTAATTTGACTTGGATGCTTAAAAAGCAGTATCAGCTCTTTTAGTACATTCTAAGTATATTAAATCTATTAAAAGGTACATGAAATAGTTTATAATATTATGGTGATAAAAATGGATAGTCTACATGCAAAGGGTAGAATATGAAAAAGCAGAAGAATTTTTAGGTATTGAAAGGGTTTTCTGCAGGAACAGCAGTTGGAAGGCTGGTTGCAAGGTCTGCATATTAAGTACAGATCTTTTTGTCCTTTGCCCTGAAGCTGTGGAAGAAGGAGATCTTTTCAAAAGGGATCCAGGAAGCAACTTAGAAAAAGGAGTCATCTATTCCTAAGGAACTTAATCCTCCTCACCCCAAATCACAGGGATGATGGAAATGGCTCTTCTCAGGATGGAGTGAAAATAGACTCAAGATTCAGGAAGATGACACAGGAGCCTTGAGAACGAAGACATTCAGTGAACCACAGGGACACCTAGCAAGAGACCTGATGAGGAGGTGAATGAGGGCCACAAGGAGGTCACTGACCTTGTGGTCCTGAAGCCAACGTGTGTTTCTTTGCAAGATTATCTTCAGGGACTGGTGAGTAGAGAGAAATCACAGCTTTGAGAAGGCAGAGCAAAGAACAGATAGACTAAACCAAAGTCATACCTTTAGGACCTGACAGAGAAGGGTTCTGTGCTCAGTGATGGGTTTAGTACTGTGTGTGGATGAACACAAAGGCCCAGAGCCGCGTGGGGGGGGGGAAGATGAAAGAATCAAAGTTACTTGGTCACCTGAGTAAAGGCAAAAAGCCTAAGGAAATTTGGGAAGAATCTTTCAAAGTCACAGCTACATTAAGAGAGTCTTCTGGTCAGGCTTAGTGGTACATGTCTATAATCCCAAGACTCAGGAAATTCCCAGTTCAATGCTAGCCTATGCAATTTAGTGAGAACTTGTCTCAAAATAAAAGAAAAAGGGCTGGGAAAGTACTGCAGAGAACCCCTCAGTTCAATCTTCAGGATATATTTCTCTCTCTCTCTCTCTCTCTCTCTCTCTCTCTCTCTCTCTCTCTCTCTCTCTCTCTCTCTCTCTCACACACAATCTGGTAATGTCAGGCCTAGGACTGGGGAGATACAAGACTGGGACCATGATAAGAGTGAGTTTCTGCACTTGCTCACCTGTGGCTGGAACAATTTACCAGCCCTTTAATGAGAAACCTTGTGGTGACTGCATGGAAACCACCCCATATATTACTCTTTATTGATAGTAGGATATAAATATTTGCCCAAATTAAAAGCTTGGCAAATCTGTAGTATAGCCTAGACTCCTCTCAATTAATCTCTTGTATTCTCAATTTCCAAGACAAAGAATTCTATCTGGACGTTATTAAAGAGGAAACTGAATGAAAATAAACAAAATGGATCCAGATGATCATTTTCTTGGAAAAATGCATTTCTCTCTCTCTCTCTTTCTTCCTTCCTTCCTTCCTTTATTCCTTCCTTTCTTTCTTTTCTTTTTTTTTTCCAGTGCTGGCGATTGAAACAAAGGGTGCTCTACAACTGAACTATATCATCAGCCCTTTTTATTTATTTTTTAAATTTTGAGACAAGGTCTTGCAAAATTGCCTAGACTATCCTCAAATTTGCAATCCTCCTGCTTCAGTCTCCCAAGACACTGGGATAACAGGCATGTGCCACTGCACCCAGCTGGTTAGTTGCAATTTTTAAGAGTGTATGCTTTGGAATCAGATGCAGGACTGAGACCCATCTCCAGCCCTAGTTAGAAGTCTATGAGATCATTTCTTAACCTGGGGTGGCTTATGTGAACAGTAGGAACAATGATGCCAACTTTGCAGGTTTGTTTTTATTGTTGTTTTAAAGATTGAACAAACTTACAAATAAAAAGCATTTGGTAGTAGTAAGTAGGTCTCATGATTTCAACATCATTGTCAGAAACAGACCCAGATACATGTTTGGCAGGCACGACCCATGGCTCAAGTACTACAAAGTTGTTCAGACTTCCAAACGGAAGGTCTTTGGAATCAGAGGTCTTTGGAGTCAGACTGCCTAGGCTCAGAACCATGGAGGAATTATATGACCTTGGGGGAGTTACTTATCCTCTCTTTGACTTATATTTTTTACCTGTCAAAGAAGATGGAAATACCCACCTAATAGGATTATTTGAGTGCTTAATCAAGTAATCCACAAAAGGTACTTGGGTTGATCTGAAAAAGAGCAGAACTGAAGTCCATGAAGACAATATTCTAGGGAAGTCAAGTTCTGAGGTATTGTCTCTGAAATCGCCTAGTTAGGTCTTCATCAAAAATCACATAGGAGGGTAACATGTTAATTGCCAGGTCTCTCCAAGCCCTTGTAAGTGACTTTAAATGTCATAGCAAACTTCCCAGGAGACTCATTGGTACAGAATTTAGGAACTTCTGCTTGAATATAATGTCATCTAACCTGGCAGCACCAGGCTTGATGGCATGCAAATTTCCCAGGGCCAACTTTGGGTAGACAGCCTTTACTTAAGATTATACTCTGTTTATTTTCTTACTTGCTTATTTTTTCCTTCCCCCATCAAACTGTTAGTCTCTGAGAATAGAGACTTTAAATTTTGTACTTCTGTGTCCCCAGTGCCTACAAAGGAACCTAGCACAAATTAGATGAGTGGAAGGATGCTCCATATATTTGCTGAATGAATATATAAGTATTCATCTGCTGCTCACTCTAGGCTATTTCCAGCTCTTATTTTCCAAGATGTAACGGGTTAAGTCTCTTTTGGCAAAAGGGGCAGGAACTCAAAACTAAGTAGTCTAAGTTAAAAAGGAAACTTACTACCTATGTAACCAAGAGATCCAAGATTGAACCTGTAGCCTCAAACAAGGTATAATCAGGATCCTCTAACACTATTTTCCTCTATGTTGAAGTTATAGGCTCAAGATGAAAATTTGTATGCAGAAAATGTATCAGGGAGCATGCTGGGTAACAACAAGGATGAAGGGAGTAAAAGGACCAGGACTAGGCCAAGGGCAGTGGCTGATTTTCTTAGGAGCTCTGGAGGTGGATAACCCTGAGGGTTGCTTAGTTTGAAGGGAAGAAGACTGGGCCTTTAGAAGCCCTCATCCTCACATCAATCAGTTGTTGATCCAGGCGGCTGTGTTTGGTTGTGGGTAATTCAGAAAGAATAACTCAGCTTAGAGCCACGAGCTGCCAATAGTCCAAGCAGTTGGAAAAATGAGTACTATAGGCCTGAAGGATGTGGGGTGCTATACATCCATTATGGTAGACTCTATTCTCGGGCAGTCAACTTTTTATGGTAGTTACACATAAAAGTTGTGACAAGATTGAAACATCAAATTGTTCAAGTGAGAGTTTTTATTAGCTTACTTTGAGTCACGTGCCCATCCCTAAACACATCATAATACCAGGATTATGTGCTTCTCTGACTATTCAATTCTGGATATGCCTACCCCTTGGAAACAGAGATGATTAGTGAAAAAGATTATTGATGTTGGTCACAGTGGTGAACATGGGTAGTCTCAGCTACTAGAAAGGCTGAGGTGGAAGGATTGCTGAAACCCACAAGTTCACGACCAGCTGGGCAACACAGTGAGACCCCCCACCTCAAACAAACAAACAAAATTTACTGAAAGTAGGATTTCAGTTCAAGAAGAAAATTCAGTGAAGCTGACCAGACAAAACTAACAATTGACTCTATAACCTTGTTGTGTTATAGATTGAACTGAATCAGCCCTCATATTTATCTCTTGAAGTCCTAGCCTCTATTCCCTATAAATGTGACTTTATTTGGAGATAAGGTCTTTATAGACATGATTGAATTAACATGAGGTCATTGGGGTGAACTGTACTCCAACATGACTGATGTTCTATTCAAAGGTGAAGGCTGGACACATCAGCCATCCAGGGAAAAGGACACGTGTACATGAAGATGGCCATATGAGCCAGGAGAGAGATGAGGAACAGCTCACCTCTTCAGAACTTCAGGTGGAACAAGCTTTGCTGACTTCAGACTTTGAGCTTGCAGAACTGTGAGATAATACATTTCTGTTATTTAAGCCACCCAAATTGTGGTACTTTTTATAGCAACCTTTGCAAATTAATAAAACACCTGAGGTTAAAAGTTTTAGCCTAAGATTTCCTGAAGGTCATAACCCAGATGCTAAAATAGGTTATTTGTCTTGTAATTTTGTTTGATTGAAACATCAAATTGCTCAAGAAAAGTGGCGCATTTTGTCCAGTATGAGAGTACAAAATCTATTTTGTTGTTCTCTGTAGCCCTTCTCAACTGGGATTTCATGAAAGGATTAAGCTTTGTATCACTTGATGTATGCAGTGGATTAACTTCTTTCCTGTGTGTCTGTAATGGCATTAACAATGTACTATCTGAAGGATAATTGAGAAAATAATCATTCCAAACATTTCCTGTAGGACTTAATTTTTCTCATAAAACCCCTATTAAGAAAGGTCACCAGGCTATAGTGGTACCAAATTCATCTAAGCTATATATCTATACTTGAACAACAATTCTCATTTATGCACATAGCAATTTTTTTTGGTCTGACAAGACAACACCACTGGGAAGAAGCAGTGGAAAGGGTAGCCACTCTTTCTGTCTTATCATGGCCCAATGGCCACAAAAATGCCACCATAAATTCATGACAAGAATGGGAAATTCCTGAATTCTAAAAATGAAGAGGGAGAAGCACACAAGTTGAAACTATAACAGTCCCGGATAGAGGTATTGTCAGATTCAGTATTGGCTTAACAACTTGAATTTTAATGTCTTCATTAAGACCAGAGACATTCTTCAAAAAGAGTGGAGAATAGCTATCTTGGTTATTTTTGGTATTTTGTGTACTTATTCCCCCCTAGTCTGTTTATTTTTGAGCCAACCTAAGAATAATTGTATGTATTTTAACAGCTAGAAGGCCCTAATTTCTTCATATTACCATTGATTTTCATTTTTAAAAGTTAATCTCACTCATTTCTTTCTCCAACTAAATATTAGAATCTTTTTAAGATCCCACCTCCAAATTCCATTTCAATGATGATAAGGATTACAATAAAGCTATAAATTAGTTCGAAAATACTGACTTCTTGATAATTTTTGGGCTTCACGTCTATTGTTATGATGTGTCCCAAATGATGTGTTATTTGTTTATGTGTTTTTTTTTTCCAGTTCTGAAACATGTCTAGAGAGTGGAGTTCAATATACCTCTCACCATCTTTGGTTTATTCAAGGCTACTATCTTATTTATTTTTAATCACTCCTCATTTCTGGAAAATATCCATCTGCAGCCATAAAGGATAAAACTGACTTGAAGACAGAAGCAAAAAGAGAACTGGAAAATGAGGGTAGTTGGGCCCTTCCTGGGTCCCAGTGACTGATTTATTCTGCTGCAGAGGTCCAACTACATCCTGAACTCTGTATCAAATGCCTTTGAAGCGCACTTCTGTTCCTTTCGACCTTACCCCTCTCTGGAGTGTTTGACCCAACAATTGAGTATCAATCTCAAAAAGTTCGAAAGGAACAATATAGTAAACCAAAGAAAGAAGGAAACAAATAATTAAAATGCAAACAGAAATTAAGAAATAAAACTATGTAATAGGATAAACACTAATTAGATATTAATTCTTTGAAAAAGGTATTAAAATAGATAACTGTTGGCAAGATAGAAGAATGATATCACAAAAAATAAAAAAAGAGCGTAATCCACATATGGGAGGTATTTTAAAAATCATAACAGAATATGCAAGAGTATATGCTAAAATTATGAAAACATAGATGAAATGTCAATTTTCTGGAAAAACATAACATACCAAAAGTAGTTCAAAAAAGAAACATATGTCTAAATAAGACATTAAGTTGGGAGAGTCCTCCAGTTCATGGCATGAGAATAATGTAACCTTGATTCCAAGGACTGAACATAAAAGGAAAATTATTGGCTAATTTTACCTGTGAACACAGGTACAAAGGCAGCTAGTTGAGTGGTTTAAAAACATCACTGATTTTTTCCAGCAGAGGGAGCACATGAACAGCATCCATCTTTCTAGCAGATGTTTTGGAATGATTGAGTATTTGGGCCTGCTGGATCAGATTCTAGTCCGAGAACCATACAGGTGCTCTTTAGTCTCTCATAGTATTGATGGCTAGCTTGGCATTTGTTATGGTTTGGGTTATCACCAAGATATAGTGAAGTCCTAACCTCTAGTATCTGTGAATGTGACCTTATTTGAAAATAGGGTCTTTGAAGATGACCAGGTTAGGATGAAGTCATTAGAACAGGCTTCAATCCAATATGACTGATGTATTTATGAAAAAGGGAAAATTTGGAAACAGACACAGTCACACAGGGAGAATGCCATGTGAAGAGGGAGGGCTGGAATTATGTAGCTAGAAGCCAGGGATTGCTCAGACCACTAAAAGTTAGGAAAAGGCAAATCAGATTCCTTCCCAACCATTTCAACATGTTGATTTTGGAAATATGGCTTACAGAATTATGAAGCAATATATTTACGTGGTTTTAGCTAGACCTAAGTTTGTGGTGTTTTGTTATGATAGCCCTAGAAAACTAACATGGGTTAGCTATTGTGAATTGTGCTGCATAAACATTGATGTGGCTGTGTCCCTGTAGTATGCTGTTTTTAAGTCCTTTGGATATAGACTGAGGAGAGGGATAGCTGGGTCAAATGGTGGTTCCATTCCAAGTTTTCCAAGGAATCTCCATACTGCTTTCCATATTGGCTGCACCAATTTGCAGTCCCATCAGCAATGTGAGTGAGATGAAGTCTTAGAGTAGTCTTGATTTGCATTTCTCTAATTGCTAGAGATGATGAACACTTTTTCATATATTTGTTGATTGGTTGTATATCACCTTCTGAGAAGTGCCTCTTCAGGTTCTTGGCCCATTTATTGGTTGGGTTATCTGTTTTTTTTGGTGTTAAGCTTTTTGAATTCTTTATATACCCTAGAGATTAGTGCTCTATTTGATGTGTGAGCAGTAAAAATGAAACTGTGGAACCTACCTAGAATCCCTTTAGTAGATTAATGAATAAAAAAAAATGTGGCATATATACACAATGGAACATTACTCATCAATAAAAGAGAATAAAATCATGGCATTTGCAGGTAAATAGATGGAGCTAGAGAAGATAATGCTAAGTGATGTAAGCCAATCCCCCCAAAAAACAAATGCCAAATGTTTTTTCTGATATAAGGAGGCTGATTCATAGTGGGGTAGGAAGGGGGAACATGGGAAGAACAGAGGAACTCTAGATAGGGCAGAGGGGTTGGAGGGGAAGAGAGGGGGCATGAGGTTAGAAATTATGGTGGAATGTTATAGACATCATTATCCAAAGTACATGTATGAAGACACAAAATGGTCTGAATATACTTTGTGTACAACTAGAGATATGAAAAATTTTACTCTGTATGTGTAATATGAATTATAATGCATTCTGCTGTTATATAAAAATTTTTAAAAATTAATTTAAAAAAATGAAAAGTAACTGGAAAAAAAAAAGAAAGAAAAAGATAACTAACATGGTATCCATTACTTTGTTCCAAAAGCAAGATGAAAACCACTCACTCCATAACATGCCAGGACTGCGACCAAGCTGCTTAAAGGTAAGGTCTTTCTAGTTCTACTTCTCTGTGAAGTTGGGTAGTTTCCCAGGTACCTACACCAAAAGCTATGGAGTCAGACATAATTTTATTCTACTGCAGAGATCCAACTACATCCCTAGTCTTGAACTCTGTATCCAACGTCTCTGAAGTGCATTTCTTACTATATTGTTCCTTTCCCAAGCTTGTCCTCCCTATTCCTATATAAATCAGAGAGGTTAGAGCAGTGATTCTCATCTGGAGTGTGAAGAAGGGATTTCTCCCTCCATGAATGCCAGAATCTCCTAAAATGGATTATGACAATATACATATTTCAAGGTATATTTACTATTTTAATTGCTTTATTCATTTTTTTTCATTTTGTGACTTTTTATTTTAAAAACTACAGATGCATAGGAAGTTGCTTTTCCATTTATTTTGAAATTTCGGATAGAATAGTTGGAATGTGGATTAGTTCTGAAGCCAGCATTAGACAGGCAGTCAGCGTAGATAGGTCAGGTGGGATCTATGAGGCCAATTCTGAGTGGTTTGGGAAGTTGGAGACTGTCCCCTGAGGGATTAAAATGTTAATTCCTTCAGAGCCCTTCCTCCACCCTTATCAAAAACCTGTCCCTGCTCCACCCTGCTTCCAAGGTAACCTGACCCAGGAATTTCCCCTCCCTACAGGGAGCTATAAGGTTGTTAATGTGTCCTGGGCTACTCCATCCAGCCCTTCTCCCTTTAGCCCACCTGTTTCCCACCTTTTGGCCACCCTACCGAGCATTCCTGGGCCTAGTCACAAATGCAGGAAGAAGAAGGATAAGAGAGAAATGGCAGGAGAACAAAGGAAGCCTAGGACATATAAAAAGGGCACAACACCTCGCCTCTTGGGATACCGGGATACCAGCTATGGCCCCCTTTCCCCCTCTATGGAGAAGTCTATGTTACCCCTTTTTAAATAAACCCTGCTTTATATGCCTGCCTCGGCGTGCTTCTCTAATGTTCTAACTTCAACATGTGGGGAAGCAGGACATGTCACTGATAACCCATGGTATCAGTTCTTTCAGGTTTCCATGACAAAATAGCACAAACTAGGTAGCTAAAACAACAGTAATGTATTGCCTTGCAACTTTAGAGGCTAGCAGTTCAAGATCAAAGTCTCAGTAGGGTTTGTTCTTTCAAAGGGGGAATTTTTTCCATATCTCCTGCTTAGCTTCTTGTGGTTTTCTGGAAGTTTGTGGCATTCCTCATTGTAGGTAAGTTTGGGCATCCTGAACAAACAATACTCAAGAATAACTCCCATGTAGTTTTCTTTAAAAGCTAAGTTCATATTTGCAGGAGAAAAAATAATTGACTTTATTGGAAAACCTGAATTATGATAACAATATGGCCTACTAGCATGCCACATAATACTAAGGTTTGGATATGGTATGTCCCCCAAATCTCAGGTAATGTAGCAAAGTGAAATGATCAGATTATGGGAACTTTAACATAATCAGTGGATTAATCCATTTGTTGGCTTAATATTTTAAAAGGTCACTGGGGGCATGCCCTTGGGAAATACATTTTGTCCCTGGCTCTTCTGATTCTCTCTCTGATTTCTAGCTGCCATGAGCTGAGAGGCTTTCCTGGACCACACCCTTCTGCCATGATATTCTGCCTCACCTTGGGCCCAGAGCAATGGAGTCAGTTGACCATGAACTGAACTACTGAAACTGTGACCCCACAATTAAGCTTTTCCTCCCCTAAGTTGTTCTTTTTTTAAAAAATTATTTTTTAGTTACAGATGGACACAATACCTTTATTTATTTATTTATTTTTATGTGTTGCTGAGGATTGAACCCAGTGCCTCACACCTGCTAGGCAAATGCTCTACCATAGAGCCAAACCCCAGTCCCCCTCTAAGTTGTTCTTGTCAGATATTTTGGTCACAGAGAAGAAAAATTGACTAGCATACACAGATAAATACTCATAATTCCTACACCCCTGATGGGAGCATGCGTGGCTACATGCCTACATGAAATGTAAAGCTGAATCTACTGCATAAAACTTTTCAAAAAGGAGACAGGTCAGACACAGGCTCATTTAGGGTTTTAGAGAAGGTGTTCAAATCCTGGCACCTGGCAGCTGACAGGATCCAGAATAAATAGAAAAGAGGTCTTGTACAACCTATTTGTGACCTCCTTTTCTCCAGTCTCATTAGGGCTTTCTGTGAAGTGCTTTTCCTTCAGTTACGCAGGGATGGTACCTTCTCATTTGTCTTTCCATAAACTACTTTTTTTTGGCCTTAATTACATTTATTTTTAAATTTTTAAAATGATTTTTTAATGATTTTTAATTTATTTACTTGTTCATTGCTCATCCTCCTCTTTTAAACTCAATGAGAACAGAGAACAGCTTGTCCTATTCAGTGTCTGGAAAATAATACAATCTTGGTTAAGTGTTTATTGAATGAATAAGTAGATGAATGAATAGATTTAAGATTGAGGGGTGGAGGTGGCCAAACTGTACCTGTCTCAAAATTTCTCAGATATTTTCAGCTATTACACTATTTCCACAGATTCTCTCAATGAGTAGAGCATATGTCATGATGTGATCCCACCTACAGATGATAAAAGGGTACTGTTTGTTCTGCCTTGTCTGGCTACCTCTGGATGGTGACTGCTGGTAAAAGCTTGGTGATTTGCTCTGATGTTAGGACTACTGTGTTGATTATACAGTCTTAATGGAAAGATTTTGCAGGTAGGTAAAATTTTCAAGGAAGTCTCATTAAAATTTTGCTCTAAACTCATTAGCCACTGAATAGTTTTTTAATACATCTCATAAATTGACACTATTTGATTTAGCTCTGCATGGAGAAAAAGTAATTCTAAGAGGATATTTAAGAGGATAAAATGCCTCACAATTTTGAAAAAGACAGTAGTCATAATTTTAAAGGTACTCTTAGATTCTGAAGTTCAGTGACAATGTTTTATTAAAATATAATCCTTATCCCCCTCTATGATCATGGAACCATATGGCACCACAGGACCCTTAAAAGTGATTCACTACATTTGTAGATATTGGAAAATTTTATCAGATCTCAAATCTGCTTAAAATGTTCATTGAGCTGCTGGAAAATGATATATGGTGGAAAGGGAGAATGGACAGCATTATTCCTGGGTCTAAATATTTCTAAATTTTTGAGAGCAGACCCAGGATTAAATGAATACTGTGCTAAGTACAAAACTTAATCTGAACCATTTAATGGTTTTGCATTAAGATTATTTCAATTCAATTACAGTGAAATTTAATTACTACTTCTTGAGTGCCTAGAGAAAACAAAGTTTGGATCATGTGTTTCTTGATATTTAATTGTTCTTGTTTAGAATCTCTGTTCTAGTTCTGAACATGATTTGCTCTTACATTTGTACATTCTTAACCTAATCTTGTCTACTCTATTCTTATAATAAAAGTATTCTTTGTCTTTTGAAAACCTTTGCTTAAGGTCCATCTCCTTTAATAAGCTTTCCCAGACTAAGGCTGTTGGGTGCCTGTTGTGTATTCCTATAATCTCTTTAACACACATACAAATGTAAACTCTCAAGAGGAGCCTCTCCAACTCTGCCTCATCCTGTTCTCAAACCCTTCATGGTTGCTCCCTAATAAACCTCAAAGCAGTGGCTCTCAACCAGGCCACACATCAGAATCCCCTGGTTCTGTACTTTTGAATACTTCTAAGAACTTTTTTTCCCCCCACGGTGCTGGGGATTGAATCTAAAGTTCACACATGCTGGGCAAATGCTCTACCACTGGGCTACACTCCTGATCCTAAGAAGTTCTTTTTAAAAAGTTGAAGATATTTTAATTTGGAACCTCTTTATCAGGTGAATAAAATTATAATCTCTGAAAATGAGAGTTTCACAGATGTATTTTTAAAAAAAATTTCCAGATATCTTAAATAATTATCCAAGGGTAAGATTCTGTCTTACACAAAGCAAGACTCTACATATCTTAATATATCTATGTTTAAGTATATAGTGGTCTCTTCCATCCGTGATTTCATTTTCAATAGTCATGTATGGTCAACCTGGGTCTGAAAATACAGAATAATAAGAAGGAAGATAATTGGGGGGGGGGGGGGGGGGGGAGAATTATATAACTTTTATTGCAGTGTGTTATTATTATTTACTATTTTATTATTAGTTGTTGTTAGTCTTATTGCATCTAACTTATGAATTAAGCTTATGGTACTATTTGTATTTTCATGCATTCACTGGAGTCTTAAGATATCTTTCCCATGGATAATGTGAGATACTGTATGTTACTCTTCTCTCTCTCTCTCTCTCATGTTGTGATCTCTTAGAATCATGAATTTTAGAGTTATATCAGATATTCTCCAAAGAAACAAAACCAATATTGTACATATACATATACGTACATATGTGTATGAGTTCATATACATACATACACACACACACACACACACACACACACACACACACACATATAATGGGAATTGACTTATATTGGCCCATGTGGTTATGGAGGCCAACAAGTCCTACAAGGATGCCAAGAAGTTCCACAGATGGCCCTCTGCAATTTGGAGAACCAGGAAAGTTGGTGGAGTGATTCTATCTGAATCTGAAGGCCTGAGAATCAGGATGATGATGTAAGTCTGTCAGAGCTTGAAAGCCCCAATTCCAGAAGTCTGATGTCCAAGAGCAGGATAAGATAGATGTCTCAGGTGAAGTAGAGAGTAGATATGCCATTCCTCTGTTTTTTTTTTTTTCATTCTGTTCGCTCTCAGCAGTTTGGATGATGCCACTCACCTTGGTGAGGGTGATCATCTTCACTCAATCTACATGTTCAAATACTAATCTCTTCCAGACATACCCTTTCAGACACACCAGAACCATGATTCACCATCTGTCTGAAAAATCCCTTAGCTCAGCCAAGATGACATAAAATTGGCCATCACAAGAGTTCAAACATCTAAGAGGTCATTCTTTCTCACTTTTTTTTTTTTTTGTGGAAATTTATTG